TGAACCGCTTCTCCACCTTCGTCAAGTCGGGCGGCGAGGCCTTCGTGCTGGGCGAGGCGTCGGGCTTCGTGAAGGACGGCGACAAGCTGTGCGTGGTGCTGGGCCCCCACGGGCCCGAGTGGCAGGAGAACCCCTACCCTTTCCAGTGCTCCATCGAGGACCCCACCAAGCAGACCAAATTCAAGGGCATGAAGAGCTACATCGCCTACAAGCTGGTGCCCAGCCACACCGGGCAGCAGGTGCACCGGCGCTACAAGCACTTCGACTGGCTCTACGGGCGCCTGGTGGAGAAGTTCCCCGTCATCTCGGTGCCCCACCTGCCAGAGAAGCAGGCCACCGGGCGCTTCGAGGAGGACTTCATCTCCAAGCGGCGGAAGGGCCTGGCCTGGTGGATGGACCACATGTGTAGCCATCCGGTGTTGGCCCAGTGTGATGCTTTCCAGCACTTCCTCACCTGCCCCAGCACGGACGAGAAGGCCTGGAAGCAGGGCAAACGCAAAGCGGAAAAGGACGAGATGGTGGGTGCCAACTTCTTCCTGACCATTAGTGTCCCTGCTGGCCACCCAGCTTCTCTGGACCTGCAGGAGGTCGAAAGTCAGGTAGATGGCTTCAAGAGCTTCACTAAGAAGATGGATGAGAGCACCATTCAGCTCAATCAGACGGTGAACGAGTTTGCTCGCAAACAGGTCACTGGTTTCAAGAAGGAGTACCAGAAAGTAGGGCATTCCTTCAAGGGCCTCAGCCAGGCCTTTGAGATGGACCAGCAGGCTTTTTCAGTTGGCCTCAATCAAGCCATTGCCTTCACTGGAGAAGCTTATGATGCTATTGGCGAATTCTTTGCAGACCAACCCAGGCAGGACCTGGATCCTGTGATGGATTTGTTAGCACTGTATCAGGGACATCTGGCTAATTTCCCAGACATCATTCATGTCCAAAAAGGTAATGTAGCTGTAATTCTATCATTGTAACTTTTAAGAATGAATTTAACTCTGCTATATAGAGTCAATGCTGGTTGTTCTTGAGTTTTTCTTTGAAGGCTTTTGGTAAAATGGTATATTCAGAAAAATATGTAAGCTGAATTTGACTTTGGCATTCCCCATTCCTCTCTCCCTGGTGGGGACTCTGTAACTTCCTATCCTGCCAGGGTGCTGTTGAGTTGCTAAAACAAGCTCCCATTAAAATACTGCATACATACATAGCAGCATCTTAAAATTGTTTGCTATACAGAGATCTTATCTGTTGATCAAATATCATACCTGTGATCTGTGCCTTTAAAGCCAGGTAATGCTAAGTCATATCCAGAGTTCTGTTTCTGTTAAAGGTAAATGAATCTCAAAACAAAATGTATGGTGTGTGTTAAAAGCTAGTTTTAGAACTTAAGGGCTTGCTTGAATAATGAGCATCTCTGTCTGTATACTATATATTATTGTACCAAATGACAAACTAATTCATTGCTCTGTGTAGATGTCAAGGGTTGCATTCCTAGATTGTGCTCACATATGCACTTCGTGGGCTTTTCTCATAAACAATATAAATCCCTTGTAGTTGACATTTCCAGGCCTTTATCTCGATATGCATTCACTCTGCCTGTTTCTTTGTCCCTGATTTCTCTGTGAAGTATTTAGGCCAGTGTACAGTTGCACCCTCCCCATTGATTTAAGTGGACCTAGAATGATGTAATTCTACCTAGAATAGCACAGTTGGAATTTTTGAGTGGGAAAACTACATGGGAAGAACTCTAATGTGTTGTAGTTAAGAATTTTGTGATCAAAGGTTTGACTTCACTTATGCAGGTAAGCTTTTACGATTCACATCTGTTTGCCATGCTGGTGGCCAATTCTAATCGGTTAGTGTATTCTGTATATTAAAGGACAAAGATCAGAATATCACCCATTGTAAAGAATGTACTTTTAATTGTGTTATATTTCAGAGCTGTTTCTCACCAAGACATCAAACCTTTGTTATAATTCAAACACAGTGACAGGGTAGAAGGTTCCCTCTAAGCTGTGGAGTCTTGTGAGCAAAAATTCTACTTTGTGAGCTACTGGCATTAAAGTTGTGAGCAAGTGATTTGGCTACTGTATAAATCAGTTTGCTCTGGAGCCATCCTTCCTTGGCTAAGACAAAAATGTGTGAGCTGGAGGCTAAAAACTGTGAGCTAGCTAACACTAACTCAGCTTAGAGGGAACACCATGACATTCAAACAGCTGAAATAAGATTGTGTAGGGACATCTAAAGAACCGGTATATATTGTTCTGGTTGAGGCCAGCTGATTTTGAATGCTTCTAGTGTCATATGCTTAACCTGTAAAGATATGATTAATCAATCCCTTTAACATCTGGTAAAGATTTATACATGCTCCCATAGTTATATTTATAACTATGGGGAGGGCGGGGTATAAATTGAATTAAATAAATAAATAAATTTAATACTATGTAGTTGAACAAAGGTATGCTTTTTTGCAAACTGAATAATGTTATGGTAGATTTTGCAAACATGTAAACAGTGTCTTTTTGAAAAAAGGCACACTAGAACGACCATTAAACTAATTTTTTTATATTGAAATACTCAGTTCTTGCCATAGGAGAACAAGAAAATGCAACTGATTTCATGGTTGATTTTTTCTTTTTGTTATGGTTTATCTTTGTGTACAGAACTTTTGAAAAGCTGTTTTAATTAGTATCTGCTTCTCTCTAGTGTGGAGGCCCCTGTATTACATAATACAGTGCCACTGTTCAGATTTATTTCAAACGCTGCCTATACTGGTAGTAGCAATGTGATTACCATCTAAACACTATCACATAGTCTGTCATGAAAAGGCTTGATGGAATTATCCTGCTAGCCATCATTATAATTTGAATAAAATTTAAAATGTGAATTTTTGGTAGGATTTTTAATATCACATAAATGCTTTCCTTTGGGGAAGCCCTTGCAGCCAGCTTATTGATTGAAATGTGGGTCAGTGTTACTCATGGGTGAGGACTTTATCTCAGGGTGGAAGGCAGGGTAGAGGACATCTGGCTGTTAAGACATCTGGAGAATTTGATCTGTGCCATGGATTCATGTTGGCAGGTACCATGTTTGTTTATTTTTTTTAAAGTTGTAGTGATTCAGGCAATATCAACACATTTCTTGACCACCTCTCAAGTATTACTGATATCTCCCTGATATTATCTCAAGATAAAACAACCTACATCAGGCCTGCACAGCTTGAGATCCACCAAGCCAGGCACAGTGCTATCCATATATTATGACCTGTCAGAAGCTTGACAGTCCCCTGCTTTTGCAATTCCATTCCAATAACAAAATTATGGAGGTTGGTCAGGCTCTTGATGGGTCACCACATGTACTTGGTGGCCTGCATTTGGCTTGGATCCTAACAACTTGTTCAGGTTCAGCCTAGATCCTCAAGAAATCATAAATAATGTGTGTTATATTTGAGCCTTTATACAGTGGCTGATGAAGGATTTATAGTTGCAGTGATTCCAGAGACCTGAAGTACCCCAGAATGTGCCATACTTCAGAAATAGTCTAGAAAATAAACCTCTCTAAAAGAGGGCTGAACAGATTTCATTGTGGCACTTGGTATTTGCAGCTGTTAATTTGTTGTAGCATTTCTCAGCGGAAGTACAAAACCAACTAGTTTTTCTACTAGTGAGAAAAGGAGGAAGGGGATCACCTTTAAAAAAGGCTGTTTGGGAACTTTGGGACCTGCATGGACAAAAGCCATGTGGAACCATAGTCATGATCAGGGAGGTGACTGGCCAAGATTGAGTAAAAATGTTGGCTGGATCCAGCCCAAAGCTCGTTTATCAGTTTGTTGCTTGACATAAAAAAAATAATGGGCAAGCTCTTGTTTATATGTAAACTTAATGTTTCCTTATTCAATAGTAATGGATAAATTAATTTCTTAACCAGTTGCTTTTGTGTATTGGCTTCAGTATTCAGTTAAATGGAGATATTTAAAGGAATAATGGAGTTATAAGAAATTGGAGAGAAGCTGTGCTAGGTTAGAGGTTAGCTTTTTGTGGGGGTGATAACTAAGGTTATTACTGTATTTATCAGAGGTCATTTCGGGGGGGATCACAGGGGATCGCAGTTCCCCCGGGTGAGGTACGGGGGTGGGGCACATGACGAAGCCCCGCCCCCTGCTTCCGGCCACCCCGCTTCCGGCCCTCATTCAGCCAGGAGGAGGCAGGAGAAGAGGGAGGGTAAGTTGCTTCCTCCCTGCCTCTCCCCACCCCTGCCTGCCTGGGGCCAGGGAGGGCCTTTGCGGGGCTTCCTTGCACTCCCACCAGCCTTGCAGGTCCACCGCCAGGCCCCTCATGGGGCTCGGCAGTGGAGCTGCAAGGCCCGCGGCAGCGGCCGGGACTGTTGGGGGCGGGGTGTGTGGCCTGATGACACACTTCCGGTGATGTCAGGGGGTGTGGCATATGCTAATGCGTTATGCTAATGAGTTCCCCTAGCTCTTTTTCTACGAAACGACCCCTGGTATTTATATAATACAACACTTTTGCCACAGCTTTTAAAAAAGTAGAAGAAATTGTCACAGAACTTTGAAGAGGTTGAGGCCAATGTGGAGTCTTGTGAGCAAAAATTCTACTTTGTGAGCTACTGGCATTAAAGTTGTGAGTAAGCAGTTTGGCTACTTGCATACATTAGTTTGATCTGGAGCCATCCTTCCTGAGCTAAGACAAAAATGTGTGAGCTGGAGGCTTAAAAACTGTGAGCTACGCACACTAACTCAGCTTGGAAGGAACATTGTTGGGACTAGGTTTTGTGGTATCAGTAATTATAAAATCTGGTCATAACCCTGAAAGCTGAAAAATAAGTCTGGTTCCTAGAGTCAAACAAAATTTGTCAAGGCCTGGTTTAAAGCTCAGTGCATAAGCTACTGCTTCTCATTGTGGTGTTCTGAACTGAATAAAGCATTTGACTTGGAGACATGATTCCAGGTATCCACTCAGACTTGATAGTAAACACTATATGCACAGACATTGCCAGTACATACCGAAATCTTGCATAGGCCTCTGCTCTTCCCAGGCAATCCATGAATGCTGGAAGAACTTAAATGAAGTAATATGTTGAACAGCATAATGATAGCCTTGAGTTTTTCCACAAGCAATGATAATGGAAGAATGATAATGTCTGGCTAAGGTGACAAATTTTGGTATCCCAAACAGAGAGGATGCTCTAGCTCTACCAGAATTTCACTGCAGCCTCTCTCTCGTGCATTATCCATGGTTTACTGGGGTACAGCACACCTGGGAAGAAGGAATTGCTTTTTCACACACTGCAGCATGCTGTTACAGGGAAGAGGCCAGAACATGCATTTCAGATTGGCAGAGCATTAAGGAGTGCCACAGTTCCCAAGTGGCCATAGCTGTGGCAATTCCCCATAGTGAGGTAGTAGAGTATAGTAAAGATGAGGTCTGCTGCCAAACCCACAATTATGCTAAGCATACTCTTCTCCCCCCCCCACTCCCATTATTTAGGTAAGAGGTTGGAAAATTCCCACAACTAGAACAGAATATGTAGTACATGTAGGGAGCAATCCTGAGTAAGTCCCATGTTACTCATTGGGCCTTTATGTCCAGGAAACTGCCTCTAAAGATGGCAGCCAGAATCATTCAGTGTCTGGAGAAAGGTTTATAAAGATAATTTAGCTTAGGGTTAACAGAACAAAACTATTGTAAAATATTTGCCAGTGCCAGATGTTTGTATATTATGATTTTGGGGAATACGTCTGAAATTTGATAGAGTGTTTTTGGTACCATCTTGCTTGATTTTGAATTTCATTTTGGTGCCTAATATGCATTGTAAAAAAACAGTTCCCATCATCTGGGAAAATAAATTCTCTCAAGAAATTAGGGAAGACAACAAGAATACTGGTTTGCTTGCTGTTCATAGCAAAAGTATGTTTCCTGCCATTGCCTCTG